CAGACTGTATCTGGAGATAAAGTGAACCGAATGTGACATCTGAGACCTCATATTAAATGATTCTGTAGGAAGAATCGTTCCTGAGAAAATTAAAAGACATTTGCCTGAAGAGCCTCCGAGTTATGGTCATTTTAAAATAATTAAAACACTTAATTAAATAAAATAGAAGCAGGGCACCCAGCAACTCGAAACTGGGCCTGGGTGTGAGCAAACACAAGAGGAATCCATTAGAACCGGTTCGGAGTCTGTAGTTGCAAATGGGGAAGCGCTATCTCGGGAAAGGAAAGCTTTATAAACTTCCCGTGAAGGGGAACAACTGTGACATAAATGGTCTCGTACATCTTAACGATACACAGAGTAGGTGATCCCAAAGTTTCATCCTTCTATCTCTGTAATATCGTTACGTCATCAAAAGATCGAACCCCATAAGAAAAACATGGGGATTCTGTAATTTTAGTGATAACACCCACTACCTAAGCCCACTATCCACTATCTTAACAGATGAAATAGCTCAACGAGGAGAACCTATAGTCCAAGTTTCTTTAATGCATCTCAAAAATTCTCGAAGCTATGTGGAACTTAAAAAAAGTTTTAACATTAAAATAATTTAAAAATGTTAAATATGGGTTATAGGAAATGGGGCTATGGTCCTGAAAAAATTTGTCCAGGATAATCATAGGAAGAACAATCGAATCCAGTAGGTGCGGTCGACCAAGGTGGCATAGGATTCGAGTTATTTCTGGGAAGACCTGTGGGGGGAAGGGCACCAAATCCACGTAAAGCTCACGCTAAAAAGAAAATATGCCGGGCCTTCAAAAACCTAGACCCAAGCTCAATTCCTTAAGGAGGTGAAATTTTTTCCAGTCCCCGTAGGATTAACATGGGAGCATGACATTTTAGTGCTTAAGCACTCCCCAGGCATACATAATGGGAATGAAGCAGATGATTTGATGTGTCTCGATGAGAGGAAAACTTGGTTCAAATTTCAAGTCCGAGATTCGAACAGGAGCCAAAATATTGTGAATTTAAAGAAATTTAAAAAGTTAAAGACAATTAAAAACTATAGAAAAAATAGCCCTATGAGCATGAAATTATAATAACTGAAAGAGCAGATAGAGACTGATTGAATGACCGAAGTCCTAATGGACTGTGAGTCCCGGGTGCCGAGATATTGGCC